GCTGTATCAGGAGTTCTCAAAAATAGGGATCTTTCCTGTCACAGCGTTACTCGGCGAAAAATCTTTCTGGAGGCTCGAGTCTAGAACCGAAAATCTTCGTTTTCATATCGTAAGTAGAGCTTGATGGGCTGCGTCAAATGGCAGCCAGAACAAACTTTCTAGCACCTACAGTTTCCGAGAAAACTGCAAATTACAGTGTCAAAAATGTCACAGCGTTACCTTTGGACAAGCCATTCAACGGATGGAAAAAAGTGTAAGAAAAAAGCTAAAATTTGAAACTTGAATCGGTCATTTGTATATTGTTTATATATTGATGATAACTTTGAAAGATGAGCGAGACAATTGCATAAGGATATCGATTTAAATAAATCGCAATTGCTTTTACCCTGTCCAGAAAAGATGGTAATACACATGTTTCATATCTTCAAACCATCGTTCTTTCTAATGTAATAACTGAAGCAGAGGCGGCGGAATGGTTTGAAAGCTGTGGGGGCGGATTTATTTTCCTGTAAAGTCAACGAAAACTATCAGAGTATTTTTATATCATCTCACAACCTAGTGCTATTGTGTTTATCCCCTTCTTTCTTTATGTATATATACACAATATACTACCAAAATGTTTCTTTTATTACGAATTTTTTTCACTACTTTGTCAATTATTTCATTGTCAAACCGCGAACCTGTGAGAGTGATAAAGTCTTGACGATAAAGTCTTTTTTATTATATTAGATTCATTTGACAGATCTGTTTTGGAGGACCTAACCAAAATGACTAACAACAGATTAACACAGCGAATTAATAACTTTCTTAGTTTCAGAGCAGAATTCTCAACAAGTACCTTCAATCTACCATACCTGTAGTCGAAATATCAATCAACTCATTAAATCAACAGCAAGCCACATTTATTTGATTTCAACTACTGACAGATGTGTTACTGTATCAACCTAAAATTACGAATAAAGCTTATTCAAAAATGCTAGAAGAATGTCGACATTATTATAAGGACAATTCTACAGCGCAGAAATCTTTTGATGAGTTTGAAACTGAGTATACATCCGATAAAGCGATCTTGTGGTATACACGTTATTTATTTCATCATTAGGATGAATGTTTTTTAGAAGAACATTAAATCATCATACGTAAGACTTGTAAATTAATCAAAACTACACTATTCAATTCAAAACCAACAGACGTGACTGTTTTGTGTATGTTGAACGAAAGATGATAGAGATCCACGGTTTTGCGCATTCAAAACAGCAGACTTGAGGACATGTTTTTATAACCTAAAAGGTTTTCAAATATGCTACTTATGCAGAATTTTAGGATAATTTTTGGAAAACCACATGATGTCTCAACAAGGTCAAATGAGAATTCACTGCCTTTTTTCGTGGATAAATACCCCAAAAAATTGAGAAAAATAACTGCCAGTGAGAGTTTGCTGAGGATACTGAACCCCAAATATTTTGAATGAAAATTATTGTAGAGGCTATTTGAAAAAATTTTCCATTCAATTCGATTCCATTCACGAATTAAATTGAATCGAATGCCAGAATAAGAGTACCAAATTTGAATTCTGCATGAAAGTCAGGGTCAGGGACAAAAGAAGAAACAAAAGGTTGTGATAATACACTATTCTTTTATCACTTTTCTCATTCTTTTCAGGCTTCAGGAACCTCTAAAGGCCTCACGATAGACCTTCAAGTCATTTCGATCTAATAAGATTTCATTGTTCAATAAGGACACGATTGGGCTAAATTGGACTCTCACTGGGGAAGGTCCATAACTGGTAAATCTTTTTCACCAAACTTAGTGAATTATAGGTTATCAACCACGCTGATTCAGAATATCAACATGAACAGGACTATTAGGCCTCTAGGCAACCTTTCTCTGCAAAACCAGTTTCGCAGAGTCAGAAAGCTTTTGTACCATGGCCCCGTGGAGACGGAAGACGTATATATACGTCTAGTTTTGAGCTCACTCGCAAGAGGCTTTCATATACCTCCTATGATACTGCTATGATCTGCACAAGTATTGACGTTGTTAAAACAGTGTTGCAATACGATGTCTTACGTGAGACGAAAAATAAATTAGTAACACCATATACATGCAGGTCCAGAAAGAGGAAAAGAACATTCTTCGTCATCTTCTCATTCTTCTTCTTTCCTCTGATGTTTTCGATTGTTGTTTTTTTTCTTCTTTTTGTATCAACATTTGCTCTATCTCATTTACAGTCATGTATGACATGGCGGGAAAAAAAAGAATGTGATCATGGTTGTGAAATGATTGAGAATTGGTATAAAGAAGAAGAAAAATCGCAGAGGTTCTCATTTTCTTATAAAGAATTGTACCACATCTAGCTATGAACACGTTTCTTGGACCAGCCAAAGCTTTAGTCGAAGAAATATGCGATGACCATGAAGGAACAAAGAAAACAATGAAAGAATTCTCCCAAAAGAATCCGCTGGTTGCTCCATTTCGCCTTGCCTGGGACATTATCACTGACGATGAAGATGATGCAAAGGAAACGCTCCAAGTATTCATAGATAATCTTGAGAATATGGCAAATTCTACACCCCTTCTTGGTCATACAATAGCACTTGGACACGCAGCCGCTGGAAATGACGAAAAGGCAAAAGAAGTCTATTTGCAAGCGACACGAACGACAATTGTAGCCGGTGCGGGACTAATTGGATCCCTTGCTGGACCAGTGGGTACGGTCGCATTAGCCGCTGAAGTTGGAACTGGTTGGGACATGTGCGAGGCACTTGCAGGTGGCCGTGTACATGGCATTCCAAAGTTAATTACAGCTGCTCGCGATCATATCGAATTAGGTCCAGGCGAAGTATTCGACATAGTTATGACTCCAGTTGGAGATGGAATGACTGGATTGCTAGCGAAACAGCTATGTGACAAGATCACGGAAGCACGAGCGAAAAATCAAGCAAGAAACCAAGTGCAGAAGGCAAGTGAAGTGGTACTAAATTTAGAAGTTTCAAAAGTAGATTTTTAGATTGTCGGAGAAGAACAGGAAAATCTCTATTTCTAGGCCAATGATGCTAAATTGGAACCATTAGAAAAGAAAATAGCTGAACAAGGGGTAGACAATCCTCGAGAATTGGCAGAACGTATGTCAAAAGATGCTGATGTTCTGAAAAATACAGTGGAGAACCATGAGTCGGCATTGCGTGGAAATCAACTGGGTCGAAATCGGAATAATTATCATATGAATCGTCACGTTACGTGTACAATGATCGACGAAGAGGGAAATTCGTCTACTGGTTATAGCTCAAGAATAACAGCAGCAACCGGAGAGAAACGTTTTAACGGAGATATATCTAAACTGGAGCAAAATTATCCCGAATACCAATCAGTTATTGATGGACGTGTGCTTGGTAACTGTGCCGAACCCATGGCATATGAAAATTGTTCAAATCCAAGTATAACATATGCAATGCAGATCAATGATGGAATTGTCAAAGCTATAACTCGATGTAAAAATTGTGCACAATATAACTTTGGAACTGTGATTACAGATTGGATTGATGGAGAGATAATTCCATTAAACCTGGATGATCTACCGCCTTCTGGATCTTATATTGGTGCAGGCATTAATGGAACTGTTCTTGTTACAATTCAGTCGAGAAAAAGACGAGGTAAAGGGGACGCTTGAAATTGTTGATAAGAATTACCTGGCAAAGTTTCTACTACATTTATTTGTATTTATCTTCTTTTCTAATAAAACACTTTTTGTTATCCTGGTTTCGGATAATGCGTTTTGTACCTTATCTTCTTGTGTACGAAGGCCATGTAAAGCTCCGACTACTTGTATGTTGTTGCTGCTGTTTGTTTCCCAAATACAATAGTTGAAAGCATATTATTCAAATCGAAGGCCAACACGGAAAGAGAAAGAAAAAAGAATCGAGGAGACATGCTATATGGGAACGAGAAACGTTTGGTGATTAATCTTGGAACCAACGATTTCTATATGGCAGTTTAAGAGGTTTATGATTTTAAAGTAGAGAGAGAATGAGTATCATAAACTGTTCCTAATTCTCTTATCTGTTATTATCCTGTTATGATCTGCCATTCCTGGCAGCTCATAAGACTATGTTCTCTTCTTCTTTTCTTGCGCAATTTTGTTATTGCGCAACTCTTGTTTCATTCTTTCGTTTTCGTTTCCGCGGGGTATTTTCCCAACTCTTTCTGTTCTTATGTAACTCATGCGCAACTCTTGCAAAACTCTTGTTTAACTTTTGTACTATATATAGCCGTTCACTTTATGCAAGAGTTGCGCAGGAGTTGCGCAAGAACAGAAAGAGTTGGGAAAACCACAGGATGACACAAGTATTGCGCAAGAAGAGAAAGAAAGGAAAAGAAGAGAACATAGTCTTATGAGTTGCCAAGAATGGCAGATCATAACATATCCCTCTTTCTTTCTTTCTTGTACGGTCGCCTGTAGTCAATAAACTTTGAGAAAGTGAAATATATTTTGTCAGTATATCTGCACTGCAAGATAACTCTATGTATGCTGCTACACTGTAGCTGGACTTCCTTGTAGAATCTCCCCCTCGATCAGACAAGGTCCGATCGAGCTGAAACTTTTACCACAGTTATCCCTCAGCATAAGGACCATGTACTGAAAGTTTCAGGTTAATCGCTCCGATACTCTGGGTTTTCAGAAAACCAAGGTTTTTGAGGTTTTGACCATTTTTACAGACATCAAAACAAAATATATATTTGGAGTCAGCGTGAAAAACTTTATCTATTTAATTGTTGTTATGTGGCTGTAGTCTTTATAGTTGTAACGCTTTGCTGTCACCAGAGATTACTTGATTTGTATCACAGACTTTGATATGATTTTAAATGTTTATTTAGAAACTGAACATGATATCTTTTGCACAAAAATAGAGTATATTTATATGAGAGTTTACACGAAAAGCGGGATATTCTATAGTTGATGTACTAGACTGGAAAACTGGGGATACATGTAAGCGATCACAGAAAATAAAGAAACCAAGAACTAACACTGGAGAAATTCGTCATAGAAAGACAGAGAACGAAAGAGATACATATAGTTGAAAATAAGAAATAACACTGGGGAAATTCCTGACAAAAAGAAAGAGAATGAATATATGAGTGATTCTGATAAAAGTAGTACCGTTCGAATGAAGTTAATGATCCCAAGCGTTTCTTTTCTTAGCCTTGATGAATCACTTTCGGACTTCTCGCATATATTCAACAACGTTAGGTTTATAATCGCTGCAAGTACGACTTTTCTATGTTTAACCGTGAACGAATTATAAGCAAAACCTCCATGTTTGACCGTTATTTTGATGTTATTTTTCTGGTGATTCAAATACGTTTGGTTTTGTAAATGTTATTTTCTCTGTTGTCTTATGTGGAGCAATATTTTTTTTTCTCTCTTTCTTATAGTATTTTCTTCGCTCTACTCAGTTACATCATTACCTTTGTTACCGATTGTTCTGTTTTTTCACAAATTTGTTCCGAATTTGTGATCCCAAAAACATTACTTTTTCTGTCCCGTAACCACGTGGTCTGTAATAGCTCTGGTAAGTTATTCAGTTTGCCTTCTTTATATGCCAAAAGTTGACTAAATGTATAGAATAGACAACAGCGAAAATCCGACGTTTCTATCACTTTTCACTACCAAGTAATTCCCACTTTACTGAAGTTATGTG